GATTTCACCTTTCATTTTAAATACTAGTATGAAAATAGATTATTATTATTATTGTAGTTATAGATTTTGTAGTCCTTTATATAGGAACGTCACCTGCTTTATCACTATCAAATTATTATTGTTCTTTGGTTATTTCAAAGCAGCCCTGTAGATTGGCTGTCTTTAGGGATAACAGGCTATTTCAATTTTATTAGCGATTCCATCGATTCTGTATGTTATATTTTCATATTGGCTCGAGACTTATGAGGTCCATTTCAAGCCAATCTAGTCCACTAAATGAAGCCTTTGCAACTTTAAAAGGCTGCAGTATTGACATCAATAAATGGGTCGGCAAACTTTGGCTCCCGGCCTGTCAGGGTAAGCCGCTGGCGGGACGTTTTGTTTACCTGGAGCGTGTGCAGGCATGGAGCCCCTCAGTTCCCGGTGGCCGCGGTTCACCATTCCCAACCAATGGGAGCTGCGGGAAGTGGCGCCACTACCCGCAGCTCCCATTGGTTGGGAATGGTGAACCCGGCCACCGGGAGCTGAGGGGCTCCATGCCTGCAGATGCTCCAGGTAAACAAAACGACAGTGTATTAGCTATTCAATTAAATGATTCCACAGAGTTTAAAATCATCAAATTTTGGTGTAGACCCGTTTATAAGCCGACCCCTGCTCTTTGATGCGTCACTTTTTTACCAAAAATATTCGGCTTATGAACGAGTATATACGGTAAATACAATTAAACTATGTTAAAATGTTGTTTAATTTGCAATTTTTTAAAGCACTTTAATGTTAGGAAAAGCCAAATTTTACAATTGCCCGTGCAGCCTTAATTCTTCCTCTTTGTGCATCCAGCCTGTGCACTGAATGAGTCAGGGGTCCTGTGGAAAAAATGTGGTCATGTAGTTAAAGACTTTCTCATCATGCATATATATGCACAAGGAGTGAATTAAGGTTGGCAACAAGAGAGGGCTATTATGTTGGGGTGGGGGTCACTACGACCATGTGTTGGGTCTTGGGATGGTTGTGGGGAGCTTGGCCCGATGTGCACATGTTCTCTCCCCCAACCCCCATGTGAGCTGGGGGAGCACCTGCCCAATGGGTTACCCCCAGAGGAGGTGTGGACAACTGGGGCCATGTGCTCAGTCTGGGGGCTGGGGGAATCCTGGCCTAGCTGTCTTCCCCTCACTCCAGTAGCTCTTTGGTTAGGGTTACCATATTTTGTGCCTCCCAAAGGAGGACACTCCACGGGCCCCGCCCCCGCCCCCTCCCCAAAGTCTCCGCCCCCTCCCCAAAGTCTCCGCCCCCT